GTTATTTGTTGAAATTCAAGTTGCTTGTAATTTTAAAGTTGATTTTCATTAATAAATTAATATTCGATCTTATATTTTTGTTACACACCTCAAACAAAATACTAAATAAACATATCCTATATCAATACATGAAGAAAAAAATAGAAAGAAAAAATACTATGTCAAATAGTTTTCAATAGAACTTTAAAATAAAGTTGAAACAAAAAATATAGGAAATAAATTGTTTAAATATTTTTTGCTTTAGATATTTTTTTGTTAGAACTTAATACAAGGAAGTCTAGGTAATATAATTAGGAATAGTATTTATGTGTCAAATTATTCATTTTTGTGTGCGGATAGGATAAGTTTCAATTCGGCCAACTTTACTAGATATCATAGGCGGCTCTTAGCAAGAGTAAGGTGAACAACTGCTCAGGTTCCATAATTCAGAAATGACCCATATTTTAAAACATTAGCATATTATTATTATTATTATTATTATTATTATTATTAAAGTTTAGTTTATATTTTTTCTTCATAATTATTCAATTCAATTTTAATTTAACATTAAATTTTAAATTTTAATCATATATTTTTCTTATATTTTTTTTCGTAATTGTTACATTTCATCTTTTCAAATTCAATTGTCACCTACACCTCCTTCCTTCATGCCCTGCCGCACCGCACCGTGCCCACCCACCCAGACCAAATCCGTCTCACCCTCTCTCTTTTTTCTCTTTCTCCTTCTCACCTTCTCTCTTATCTCTGATTTTTCCTCCCTCGATCCTCTCTCTCTTCAAACTTCCGGACGCTAGTTTGAAGCGTTGTCAGTCTGCCTTCTATCTTCTTCTTTCGAATCGACACCGTCAAATTGCCTTCAACCTTTTATCCAGCCGAAACCAACGTCGGTGATATTATTTTAAAAAATATATTTAATTATATATTTATAGGGCTTACAATTTAATTTTGCTTAAGGCCCCGAAAAATTTCAAAATGGCCCTGCTAGATATACATCGACTAAATCGAACATAGATAAGCACAAATTTAGTCATGGTGCTTTAGTTCCTTCCCAAAGGTTTTGGGAGGTTCCACTAGCCTCTACCTCTAGCCGCCTCCTTCCAGCTTCCGGGGTTAGAACTTTGGTTTTTGGTAATTTCTCAATCATTCTGGAGGTTTTTTTCGGTCATCTTTTGCTACATATTTGGTACACGATACCTCATGTAGATTTTTTTTCTGGCAGGTGAATAGATCCTTAAGTAATAAACTATTCGAAATGAAATCGGTTGTTAAAATAAATTAATATAAATCAAAGTAACAAAAGAAAATGAGTCAAGAACAAAAAAATCGACTGTTCAAAATGTAATATGGCCCTTTCGAATTGCAACTAATTTTTTTATTTTTTATAATATTAATTTATATTAATTATTGTTACGTATGAAATTTATAATTATGTTAAACAACCCAAGTTAAAAGAAGATGTGGGCTTGTATTGGGTCTGTCAAACTTTTTAAGGGGTATTTCAAGACAATCGAGTAAACCGGACGTTTTTTTGAGAAAATCCGCAGGTCAGATGGTCCGTAGGACGGATGGTCCGCAAGTCGGATGGTCAGCAGGTCGGATGGTCTGCAGGTCGGATGGTCCATAGGGCGGTAAGTCTGCAAGTCGGACGGTCCGCAGATCGGTTGGTCAGCGGGTCGGATGGTTTGCGAATCGGAAGGTCTGCGGTCGGACTAACAAGTCGGAAGGGCTGCGGTCAGACCAACAAGTCGAAAGGGCTGCGGTCGGACCAACAAGTCGGAAGGTCTGCGGTCGGACCAACAAGTCGGAAGGTTTGCAGTCGGATAGACAAGTCGGTTGGTTTGCAGTCGGATAGACAAGTCGGTTGGTTTGCGGTCGGATAGGCAAGTCGGTTGATCCGCAGTTGGATGAGCGAATTGTTAGTTGTTGTGGGGGTCGGATGCTGCGGAGAGCGAGTGAGAATAATAGCTTGGTCGGTTGAGAACACATGTCAGCAAAAGAGGAGTTAGCAGACGGTTGAGATGAGGCGTTGTAACCGTTTGGGCGACGGTTCCAAGTACCGTTTCTGAAGAATATTTAAGGATTGGGATCTGCAACTGACAGGGCATCTTCAATCATCTTCAAACGACATCAAAGTTAGTGATTCGAGGATCATCCTTTAATTTTTCAATCTTCTAATTTCCAGTTTATTTATGTACCGTACAGTGTTTAGAGATTCCTAATCTCAGGCACTAAATATATCAAATTCGAAGATAATTTCCTATTTTGGAATTTTACTTTTTATTGTTGAAAAAATACATCAACAAATTGGCGACCTCAGTGGGAGAAAGGCAAGATTGCTGATCCTACATCAACAGAGAATTTCATACGACTGAGGTCCGGCCGAATCATAAGAAAAATCAGTATGGCAGGCTCACAACCTCAATCATCATCAGCACCAGTGGGAGAAAATATTTCACCACCTGTCATGCCAAATCCAGGGGAGAATCCCCAGCCACCTACCGATTGGTTGTCTTATGTTCAACAATTGAACAATCAGCAAACTTTGCCTATGCAAAATATGTCGCGCGAGCAACTGAATATCATGTTGCGAGAACAACAGAATCTCATGCAGAACATGTTAGATCAAGCTTTATCAAGGGTTACTCTTCAACCCACTCAGACTCCGCCAGGAATATCACCATCAAGAATGCAAGCAAATTTCGCAGGGCCATCATATGTTGACCGTACATTGCCAAGCGCCACAACGTTCAACCGAACAAACAGGGGAAAAACTCCTCTAACTTTCCCTAATAATGCCCCCTTTGGGGCCAAGAGTTGACAATCTGCAGCCAAACGTTGTCAGGGAAAAGAGGCAAGGAGCACACATTCAAGATCCTATCTTTATCCCTGATCATCAAAACCCCCGTGTGGATCCTGAAGAGATTGCACAAGTATTGAGGGTGCATTTCGGCTTGAATCCTCAGATGGCCAACTGTCCTGCGTATCAAAGATCTTTCCCGGAAAGGATCATTAACGACTATCCACTTCCAAGGAATTATCGGCCACCTGATTTCCATACTTTTTCAGGAGAAGATGGATCCTCCACCATAGAGCACGTGGGTCGTTTTACAGCACAGTTGGGGGAAGTTGGAAATAATCCTTTTTATAAATTGCAATTATTTGGGTTATCTCTTACTAGAACAACTTTCTCATGGTTTGTAAATCTGCCACCTGGACAAATACAAACTTGGGAAGGTTTGGAAATGGCGTTCCATGCTAGATTCTTCAATCCCTTACCAACTGTTTCTCTTACCGATTTATTGGAATTGAAGCAATATCCAGAAGAGTCAACCTCACAGTTTATTGAAAGGGTGCGATTGATGAAAGGACGTTGTCCTACTATAATCAATGAAAAAAGAAATGACCAATTTAGTGGTCAGAAATATGCATGGCCGCCTAAGAGAAGCACTCACTGCTCATGATGTGGAAGATTTGGCAAGTCTCGCTGCCAAGGCTGGACGTTTGGAGTCTCTTTTTAGAGAAAATTATCAGAATTTCAGACGTAATAAAGCTCAACATATGGCAATTATGGAAACAGAAGCATACAACTTTGATCTTGATAAAACAGAAGAAATGGCGGCCGAAATCATTTCAGGAAAGCCTTATGTGTGCTCAAAATTAAAGCCAGTACCAGGAACTGAAGGAAGAGAGCAACCTACATTTGATAATTCGAAGGCTGATGAAATTTTTGATATTTTGCTAACTGACGGACATATTCGAATTCCAAAAGGTCAAAGGTTGGCTACTAAGGAAGAAATCAAAAGAAGACCATATTGTAAATGGCATAACTCTTTCACACACAATACAAGTCGATGCACTTATTTTCGAAATGAGATCCAAAAGGCCATTAAGGCAGGTCAGCTCAAATATATTACTTTGGGTGTAGAGCAACAACCTTTTCCAAAAGTAACCACAGCAATGGTTAATATACAACCAAGTCCTAAATCGGGAAAGGGAAACTCATCAAACAGTGGCCGACCAGAAGAAAAACTCAAGGTTTGTGAAAAAACAGTGGCCGAAAAATGGGATAACCAGGATGGTTCTTTTAATGTGGAGTTAAAGGAGCAAGTTCTGGTTTGGGACCACCCGACTAGAAAAACTGGCTCGGTCGGGAGCAAATGGGCTCGAAATAAAAAGCCTTTACCAATTAACGTGGATCCTCGTTTTCCAGGCATGAACCGAACTCAGATTTGGAATGCCAAGCGCAGGTATGCCGCGAGGTACAGGGATAAGGTCCTTTCATCGAAACAGCCGAACGATGTGCAAAGTGTTTTTGATTCTCCGGAAGGAGGTCGGTCCATACGGGTCGCCTCATCAAAGCAACCGAACGACATGCGAGGCGCTGCTAATTATGCTGAAGGAGGTCGGTCCATTAGGGTCGTCTCATTTGAGCAGCCGAATGATGTGCAAGGCGCTGCTAATTATCTTGAAGGAGGTCGGTCCATATGGGTCGCCTCGTCAAAGCAGCCGAATGATATGCGAGGCGTTTTTAATTATCATGAGGGAGGTTGGTCCACGAAACTCTCCTCCTCAAGGTGGCCTAAGTATGTGGAAGGCGTCTTTGAGTGCAATGAGGGAGGTCGGTCCATACAAAAAAGGGGTGAAGGGGTATCAGATGAAAGAATTGAAGGTTTCAGATGTCAGTATTGTGAGCGGATTAACATCAATCCATCTCTGGAGGAGTTTCGTTTGGAGTCTCTGACAGTTCAACCTGAAACTGATACCAGGAATGAAATTCTGGAAGCTGATTCAAGGTCTGTCAAGTCTCACTAGGGCTACGAGTTCCCTGCCGAATGACAAGAATTAATTGGATTGAACAAGAACCCCTGTGGGCAAGTCTGGTGGATGATTATATATAAGAGCCAGAATGGGCAAAGATTTCAGATCCTGATTTTCAGTAAGAGGTTCCTCTAATAGTCTTCCCTCCCATTCCAGAAGGCACGACGTCTCATTTAAAGCCTATGTATGTTAATGCTCATATTTGCGGAAAACCAATCACGAAGGTGTTTATAGACAACGGAGCCGTCTTCAATGTGATGCCATTAAAGACTCTCAAGATGTTAGGGAAGGGAATTCACGATCTATCTCCTGTGGATTTTGAGATGACTAGCTTCACAGGGCAGCCAACCAGACAAGAAGGTATGATGGTCGCCTCAATTGAAGTCGGTCCTAAAAAGATTTCTTCTGTTTTCTTTGTGGTGGATGCGGATACTACATACTCAATCCTACTTGGACGAGACTCGATTCATGCATCTAAATGTGTAACATCGACACTGCATCAACAATTAATATTTTGGGAAGGCAATCAGATCTTCAAAATGGAAGCAAATGACAACCCTTTCGGAGCATCATAACAAGTTGAAGAGTCAGTTTTTTATTCCGGTCATGTACCCCCAACGTCTCAATTTTTTATGGCCAATGAATACTCAAAGAAGGGTTTTAAATTCATCAGCCAGAATTCAATGTTCTTTTAAAAGAACAGTTTTACTATATGGCTCATGAGGAAGCCAAAACCACTTTTTATAATATATCTTTTATGAAGGTGCAGATTTAAAATATTGTAGTTTACTTATTAATCAGTTTTATTTACATCAGTTGTTGAGTAAAGCAGAAAAAATCAAAAAGATTGTTCATGTTCATTTCCAAAAAGATGAACAAATTCGTCGGCCTGATTTATTATAATAGACAGAACCAGCTTTTTCAGCACAAGATTCTTTATTGGAATTTAACATAGGAACCGACCTGGTTCAAAAAATGATCAGGATGAGTGGTTATTTGTCTGAAGAGCAACAAATATTGATGCTCGAAGTTATAAAAAACAATATTGATTGTTTAGCTTGGGATTATTCAGAAATATCTAGTTTAGAGCGAAGTTTGATAGAGCATTGATTGCCTATTAAAAAGGGTTTTAAGCCTTACAAGCAACCTCCAAGGCGTATGAGTCCTGATTTAATGCCTCAGATCAAAGAGGAAGTTCAAAAACTTTTTAAAGTTGGTTTCATTACGCCGTGCCCTTATGCAAATTGGTTGGCCAATATTGTACCAGTTGTTAAAAAGAATGGTAAGATCAGGATATGCATTGATTTCAGGGATCTTAATATGGCCACCCCTAAAGATGAGTATGTGATGCCTATGGCTGACATGCTAATTGATTCAGCAACATGTCATAAAATTCTCAGTTTGATGGATGGTTATGCAGGATATAACCAAATCTTTTTGGCGGAAGAGGATATTCATAAGACAGCATTCAGATGTCCAGAGGCTCTAGGTATTTATGAGTGGACAGTTATGCCTTTTGGTTTGAAGAATGCAAGGGCGACTTATCAGAGGGCCATGAATTCAATTTTTCATGATCTTATTGGTAAATCTATGGAGATATATATAGATGATGTTATCGTCAAATCTTCCAGTTTTGAGGAACATTTGAGAGATCTTAAGGATGCTTTCAGTCAGATGAAGAGGTACAAGCTGAAGATGAATCTGACTAAATGTGCTTTCGGTATATCAGCCGGGAGTTTCTTGGGACTTTTGGTGCATGAGAGGGGGATAGAGATCGATGTTAATAAAGCCAAAGCAATTCTTGCCAGCCGACCACCCAAAATGGTTAAGGAAATACAAAGCTTTTTGGGGAAGCTAAATTATCTCAGACGATTCATTTCTAATGCTGCTGGCAAGGTCAGACCAATTACTAAATTATTAAAAGCTGGAGGAGATGTTTTCGAGTGGGGACCAAACCAACAGGCAGCTTTAGAAGGTATATAGCAAGCATTGGCTCAACCACCTGTGTTGATGCCTCCCAAAGAAGGTCAGCCCCTCAAACTTTATTTGGCAAATACGTACGAAGTGGTCAGTTGCTTATTGGCACAAGATGGGGATGACGGAAAGGAAAGGGCAATTTACTAATTGAGTAAAACCTCACAGGACCTGAATTAAATTATACAATGCCAGAAAAAATGTGTTATTCCTTGGTGTTTGCATGTACCAAACTTGAGCATTATATATTGCCCAGAAGAATTGAGGTTATTTCAAGGATTGATCTCATCAAGTTAATTTTGCAAAGACCTACTATGCAGGACAGACTTATGAAGTGGGCCATTAAATTGGCTCCTTTTGATTTGCATCATTCTCCTTTGAGGGCTGTGAAAGGCCAAACAATAGAAGATTTTTTGGCAGACTTTGCAGGTTATGAGCAGGAACCGACCGAATACATGTCTTATATAAGTACCCGAAATTGGTTAATATTTTTTGATGGTTCTACCTCAGGAAAAAGATCGGGTGCAAGTGTTATGTTGGAAGGACCAGACGGTCAAAGGGTCAAGTTGCAGTTGCAATTAGAAGCCATGACCCATAATTCAGGGGAGTATAAGGCTTTAATCTTGGGATTGGAAGCCTTGATAGTCAGGAGTGTTCAATCCGTGATCATAAGAGGGGATTCTCAATTGGTGATCAACCAAGTAAACAAACAATATGTTTGCAATTACCCTCATCTACGCAGATACAGGGATATTGTGGGTCGGTTGCTGTCAAAAATCTCTGAAGTGATAATTGAGTTCATCCCTAGGAAAGAAAATCAATTTGCAGATGAATTAGCTCAAAAAGCCTGTAAAAGAATCCTAAAGGATATATGTGCAGAGGTTGGCCCTGAATCAGAAGGTGTAGCCGACTGGAGAACATAAATTATCATGTATCTACAAAGTCCAGCAGCAAATGTACCGATTGGAATACGGTTGAAAGCTTTGCGATTCCAGTTGATAGAAGGAGTATTATATAAAAGGACATTCGAAGGATTACTCTTGAAATGTTTGGGGTCCAAACAGGCTTTGGAAGTCATGACAGAAGTACACAGTGGTATTTGTGGGGCTCATCGGGCATGTTTGAATATGAGATGGGCTATTCATCGCTTGGGTTTCTTTTGGCCAAAGATTTTCGAAGATTGTATACAATTCGCCAAAGGTTGCCAAGAATGTCAGAAACATGGGCAGTTGAATCACTTGCCAGTCACGGAATTGCAAGCTGTAAAACCATGGCCCTTTAAATCTTGGGCTATGGATATCATTGGTAAAATTCATCCCCCCTCATCCAAACATCATTGTTTTATTTTGGTTGCAACAGATTATTTCACCAAATGGGTCGAGGCGGTTGCTTTGAAAATTGTTGATCAAAAAGAAGTGATAGATTTTGTGTTGAATCAGATCATCTATAGGTATGGTATTCCTTATTCAATAACAACCGACCAAGGTTTGGTCTTTACTGGGGAGAAGTTTTTAAAGTTCTTGGTAGAGTTTGGTATTCGGTTGAACCATTCCTCGCCTTATTATCCCCAAGCTAATGAGCAGGCAGAGACAACTAATAAGATTATTATTGGGATCATAAAGAAAACGATTGAGAGGAACCCAAGAAAATGGCATTTGTTGTTATCTCGAGCATTATGGGCGCATAGGAATAACAAAAATTCTGCCACGGGGTTTTCGCCATATCAACTCACCTTTGGACAAGATGTTGTATTGCCAGCCGAAATTCAAGTGTCATCTGGACGTACGAGCCTTACTACAGATGAGTTTACTGAGGAATATCAACAAGTTATGTTGCAGCAATTGGAAAGTTTGGAGGTCAATCGACTCCGTGCAATTGATCAGATTGTGAAGCAGAGTGAGATCAGGGCTAAGACTTATGGAAGGAAAGTTTTTTATAGAACATTCAAAGAATAAGGTGTGGAAAACTATCCTTCCTACATATAAGAAGATTGATCAATTAGGGAAGTGGTCTCCGAATTGGGAAGGACCGTTTATCATTCAAAAGGAGATCGGAATGGTGCCTTTATTATTATAAATCAAGAAGGTAAGAGGGTACATGATTGTATCAATGCTAAATATCTAAAGAGGTATTATCCTGCCTTTTCTGATAACAAGAAAGCATGAAACAATAATTTTCATTCGGAACCCGATTATTAGGGGTTCGGACCCAAAAAAGGGTTCACTCATTGTCAGATATCGAATCATGCAGCGAGCTTTGTTCTTCTGAGTCAGAATCTTCATTCCAGTGATTAGAGATTAGTTCTGGTTCTTCATCAATAAGGTCCTCTAAGTTGGGTCGGTACTTTTCCCATTGATCTTGCATATTCTCTAGATCATAGTCGGCGCGGGCTTTCTTGTCTGTCACGGCTCGACGCTTACGATCGACAAGAGTGCGTAATCTCGAAAAGACTGCGTGCTGATTGGAGAATGTGTGATCCCAGCCAAGATCTGGGAGTATGGCTATCACATGGTGTTCAATCAAATCCATATGATGATCAACGTCAGGAAGGCGATTTTGTATATCTCGAAGGGTCTCATATCCTTCCAGCACGTTTTCCATCAGGCGAATAACACGATGAATGGTTTTTCTGCCTCGTCGTGAAAATCTGAATTTGAAATCCAATTGTTTGAGTATGCTTAACAAGTCCTCGGCATGGCCTCCAACCGGATGATTACCCACGAAAAAGGGTTGAATAACGCCTTGCCAATTGTTTACAGGAACATGAGGACGATTTGGTGACATTTTAATAAATATTTCAGGCGTTCCCAAGTCTCAATTTGTGGTCAAGCATTTGTTCATTGTTTTACAAGGGACTGCAAGTGCGTATAAAGGAGATGAATTGGATCTGTTCCCTGGAGGGTCGGAGTTTTGGAAAGTGATCCTTAACAAAAGGAGAAAAAGAAAAAAGTTTGTGTTTACTAAGTCAAGGTTGCCAAAATTTTACATGACAGACTCTAAAACAGTTTTAATCTGAGACCATTTGTCCTCTATCTTGGAATGTCACCTGGTGTTAGCAGCAGACTGGTATTGCCTTATGAATTGAGATCGGGCATGAACCTTCAGTTCTTGGTCCAAGTCGGTTTCATTTTTCTTGTACCGATCAGTCAAGCGCTGCTCGTCGCTTATGTGGCCTTCCAGGACAGATTTTTCTTGATGGAGTGTTCTTAATTCCACCTCCTTATTTCGAATTGATTCATCTATGTTAGTCTTGGCACTAAGGAGGTCGTCCAGTCTTTCATTCGCTTGTTGAATAGATTCCCTGGTTTTGGTTAAGGAAGCCTCCAGACTTATTTGGTCCAAGTTGGGTAATTATGCTCCAACTGACAGGATTTGAGCGAATAAGATGTCATTTTATTTCGAAGTTCAGATAGTCGCTCCATCAGACGGTGGAGAATGGGGGCGGCAGACGATTCTGACGAAATTTGAAATAGAAGGCCACCAATGGCTTGAAGAAGACCGTCAAGCAAGTCTGATCCCAGGTCGGGGAAAGGTCGATCAACAGCCTGTGCAATTACAGTTCGGACGTCCGTCGGAATTGGAACGGCCGACAAATGGGCTACAGCAGGACATCTCTGGAAGAATGGATGTTTATTTCAGATTACATGAAGCATAAATATCAAAAAATTAGTTGTGAAAGTTGTAGTTAGTTTTGGACGGACGTGGTCGCAGAAGGTGCCAGGATTGTGATAGGTCCGGAAGGATGGGCGACAAGTATTTCAATGGCCGACTCATCGGCTGCTTCAACTGGATGCTGTGGTATGGATCTTAGTCCCTGAATGATGGAGATATAGTGTATTTAATATCATGAAAACACTAGCTCGTAATTTGGAAAAGAGAGTTTCAAGTGTCTACCAAGTTAACAGAGGTCTCTGAATCAGAGGAAGGGATTTCTTGTAACTCCTGTAAAAGACCCCTCGGTTGAACAGTTACGGGTTCTTCCTCCCGTCTGTCTGCTTCTGGAGGAGGGTCGGTTGCCCTCGGGTTGGCTGCCCTTAGGTTGGATGCCCGCAGGTCGGCTGTTCTTTGGTCGGGTGTGTCTAGAGCGGCTGCAGCCGGTTCGTCAGGAGCGATGCGGACAGCCGCCTCAGAGACATTTCTTTCAATTGAGGCGACCGCCTCAAGAGAAGCTGCAGCAGAGGCGACCGCACCAGAGGCGACTGCAGCAGAGGCGGATGCAGGCATGGCTATTAGCTCCACGTTAGAAAGAGATGGGTCTGAAGCGACATAAGGCAACCTACCCATCTGTGAGGCAGTCGCCTCACTGTTGGATGAAATCCCTGTTGTTGTCAGTCCGGCAAGTGAAGGCGCGTGCATTGAGGTCTGTCGTTTGGTCGGGGGTTCAGGTTCGTGAAGTCGGTCGGTTGGTGACTCTGGTGATTTGTTTGGGTTTGAAGCAGCCTGGACGGTCGCTCTGGCTGGGGTCGGACCTGAACATAAGAATGATGACTAATGAAATGTTAAGGAAAAAGTCAGATTAAGTTAGGATTACTGGAACATACCTGGACGGGGTCGGGTTTTTGCGTTCACCCAACTTGATGAATGGTCTCTCAAAGTCTGATGATTTCCTTCAGGGAAGGGAATAGCTTGAGTCTGAGACGCTCTTCTTTTCCTCGGTGGGGCGCCCGATCCAGTGCCTGGGGCGACCACTTTTCTTCGGGTGTTGGTCATTCGGGCCGCCCCTAAAACCAAGGCAGGCTGTGGTAGGAGAATGCTCAGCAGACGGTCCTTGTCAGGAGCAATTAAGGCCCATGTGACCGACCACCATTCGCGGAAGGATTCGATTGAAGCTGGAGAAGATCGGAAAGGAATGTAGGAGTTGAGGAAGTTATGTAATTGGTAAGTTGGGATACATAAGGAACGATTAATTCAGGGATAACTCTCCCATCCAGACTTTGAATTATTAGATGTGGACAGGCGATGGGGCTAGGTAAGCCTTGTTGGCATCCGAATTGGCGTGCCAAAAACTGAGGCTGATAGCTGAAGGTATAAAACGCTTTGTGGCCTTTCTTATCAATTTTCTTACTGACAAATAAAGACCTGGGTTTAAGAGTAGCATCCCAGGAGAAGGAATAAGTCGGATGAGGAAGTGGGTCTGGTTCGGACAAAGGCGAAGATATAGGGAATGGCCAGAACAAGTCGGATGCATAACCGACATACCTTCTATGCATGTAAAATCGGGAGTTACTACGGTCATCGGCTAGAATGGCAGTTATGATAGGGTCGGATGCTTGAAGGTTGCTGCGACCTAAACAAAGTCGGTTAAGGGCTATTCCCAGAGATTTGTCAGGTGGTGGAGTTGGCCGAGTTGGAACGCTTCGGGGAAATAAAGACGGAACCACAATTCCAAGAACCAAAAAGGGCCCGACGCGGCGGTGTCTAATTTTTTGCTATCCTTATCTGTAAGGCGGGTGCTAACCTGGATAGCCCTTCGAAAAGATTGGCAAGGAAGAGAGTACACAAAGAAAAGAAGCGACCTGAGGCTATATGTATAGCCAAGTCAAGATGAGAGGGAATGACACATTTCGAAGGAGAAATTATGACATACTTACAGAGCCAAAAGAGCAGGAAAGCAGTATGCTCACGGTCAGTCACAAGGGTCCCGTCTGCTCCTTACTGGTCGTTTAGAAATTTGGTCCAGCCACATTCCTTTACGCCAGTCAGAGACCAGCCCAAATGGTCTGCGCTGGGTTCTTGCCCATCTAGGGCGCCCATTACAGGGTCCTCACCCACAATTGAAAGATGTGCGATCATGGCTACATCCATGAGTGTGGGGCCGATGGGGGCTATGGGAAGGAGGAAAACGCCCATCTCCGAATGCCAAAAACGCCGACATCGCTAAAAGAACTTTCTCATGTAAATGACATGGGAGAGTAGACAGAAGTATTGCCTGGTCGATTTGTTGGCGTTTCCATTGATCTTGAAAACGTTCTGCTACCCTTTTGTACCAGGTGCGGTAGGGATCTTGGGATCCGTCAGGTGCGTTTTGATACTGTCAGGGAGACGGGTAGCATTGTAGTTGGGATTATTGACAGCAAGTGGGTTCCTGCCTCCAAGACCTCTCTCATTCGGTTGGCGTCTTCAGGAGTGGTGCAATATGGGCGAATAGTAGGAGTGAGCATTTTCGTCGCAACAAAAGCTGTTTTTGGAACTGATCCGTCGAAGGGAAGTGTAGATATGTATTGATTTGCCATGATCTAGAGTTTTAGAGATTGAGAACAACAAAAGCCAGTAGTGAAGATGGAGAGTTGTGTGGCACACAATGTGTTGCAGTGATTGGTTGCAGTTGCAGAGGCGGTTCCACGAAGGGGTGTTGTTATATATAGATTGCGAACTTCCAAACGGCGATTGAGGAATGGCGTTTGAAAGTCCGATGGCGGCGGGCAAGTTTTTACGTATGAAATTTATAATTAGGTTAAACAGCCCAAGTTAGAAGAAGATGCGGGCTTGTATTGGGTCTGTCAGACATTTTAAGGGGTATTTCAAGACAATCGAGTAAACCGGACATTTTTTTGAGGGAATCTGCAAGTCGGATGGTCCGTAGGACGGATGGTTCCGCAAGTCAGATGGTCAGCAGGTCAGATAGTCTGCAGGTCGGATGGTCCATAGGGCGGTAAGTCTGCAGGTCGGACGATCCGCAGGTCGGTTGGTCAGCGGGTCGGATGGTTTGCGAATCAGAAGGTCTGCGGTCGGACCAACAAGTCGGAAGGGCTGCGGTCGGACCAACGAGTCGGAAGGTCTGCGGTCGGACCAACAAGTCGGAAGGTTTGCAGTTGGATAGACAAGTCGGTTAGTTTGCAGTCGGATAGACAAGTCGGTTGGTTTGCGGTTGGATAGGCAAGTCGGTTGATCCGCAGTTGGATGAGCGAATTGTTAGTTGTTGTGGAGATCGGATGCTGCGGAGAGCGAGTGAGAA